GGAGAGGTTCTCTGATGTTGTTCAGACTACTTTGGCTCGTCCTATCTCTAACCATGTTTCGTTGATGTTGGATTGTGGAGGACTGTGTAGTAGACGTTCTCCTTTCCAATTCAAGAATATGTGGCCGCGGGCTGAGGGTTTTCTGGAGAGGGTCCGTCTTTGGTGGGAGGGGTATGGTGTGGTTGGCACCCTTAGTCATGTGCTTGCAGGCAGATTGCGTCTCTTAAAGGAGGACCTTAAGACTTGGAATAAAGAGGTCTTTGGGAATCTGGAATGGAGAAAAATCGGGTTCTTGCTGAGATTGCGGCTATTGACCGGATGGAGGGTCAAGGGGAGTTGGTGGAGGCTTTGAAGGTTAGGAGGGCGGAGTGCAAGGTAGAGTTTGCTGAAATTGCAATCATGGAGGAGATCTCGTGGAGACAAAAATCTCGAGCCTTGTGACTTAAGGAGGGGGATAAAAACACACAAATTTTCCACAGAATGGCCAATGCTCATAGAAGAGGCAATCATATAGGGAGGATTCGGGTTGAAGGGGTTGTTTATTGTAAGGAGGAGGAGATCTACAAAGAATTTTCAGAGTTCTTTGAGAAGTTGTTCACAGAGACTATTGAGTGGAGACCTTTGCTTGAAGGGTTACAGTTTGACTCGATTTTTGAGGAGGAGTGCTTGGGCTTGGAGTTGCCTTTCTCTGAGGAGGAAGTTTTGTTTGCTATCCATTCTCGGGGTTCGTTTGAGAAAAGTTTGAATGCCACGTTCATTACCCTCATTCCGAAAAAAGGGGGGGCATTGGATGTTAGGGATTTTCGCCCTATTAGTTTGGTGGGTTGTATCTACAAGTTGATTGCCAAGGTGCTTGCTTCTAAATTGAGGAAAGTTATGGATGGTATCATTTCGGACTCTCAAAATGATTTTGTCGGAGGTCGTCAGATTTTGGATTCAGTCCTTATTGCGAGCGAGTGTGTGGACTCCAGACTGCGTAGTGGGGTCCCGGGTGTTCTTTGTAAGCTGGACATAGAGAAGGCGTATGACCATGTGAGTTGGAGCTTCCTTCTTTACTTGATGGAGAAGATGGGGTTCGGTGATAGGTGGAGGAGATGGATGCATTTTTGCATTTCCAGTGCTCAGTTTTTTATCCTTGTAAATGGTGCTCCTTCCGGTTTTTTCTCTTGCTCAAGGGGCTTGAGATAGGGGGATCCTCTCTCCCCCTTCTTATTCTTGTTTGTGATGGAGGCCCTTAGTAGATTGATGAGAAGGGTTACAGAGTTGGGTTTTTTGAGGGGCTTTCGGGTGGGCAGGGATGTTGCTTCTCAGTTGGAGATCTCTCATTTGATGTTTGCTGATGATACTTTAGTTCTTTGTGATACAAATGTGTCCCAAATTAGATATCTGAGATGAGTTTTGATTTGGTTCCAAGTTGTCCCCGGCCTTAAGGTGAATGTGGGCAAGAGTGTTTTGGTGCCGGTTGGGGAGGTCCCTGAGATTGAGGCTTTTGCGGACATTCTTGGTTGTCTGACCGGATCATTTCCCATTTCTTACTTAGGTTTGCCTCTGGGTGCTCCTTCGAGATGTGTTGGGATTTGGGACCTAGTGGTGGACAAATTCGAGAGAAGGTTAGCGGGTTGGAAGAAGCAGTATCTTTCCAAGGGCGGCAGGGTCACTCTGATTAAGAGCACCCTCTCTTGCCTTCCCACTTATTTTATCTCTCTTTTTCAGATTCCCTCTTCAGTTGCGGAGAGGATTGAGAGGTTGCAGCGTAATTTTCTGTGAGGGGGTAGAGGTGAAGAGTTTAAGTTTCATTTGGTGCGATGGGAAAAGGTTTACAGGCCTATTTGGAATGGTGGGTTGGGTCTCCGTAGATTGGTGCCTTTTAATAAGGCCCTCCTTGGGAAATGGTTGTGGAGATTTGGTGTGGAGAGACATTGGCTTTGGAGGAGGGTTGGGGCGTGTTGTTTTGGGGAGTTGAGAGGAGGGTGGAGTTCTTTGGAAGTGCGGGATCCTCGGGGGGTGGGGGTTTGGAAATTTATTCGGAAGGGTTAGGATGAATTTTCCAAACACATTCGGTTTCGACTTAAAGATGGGAGGAGGATTCGCTTTTGGGAGGATGTGTGGTGTGGAGATTTTCCTCTTGCTCTTGCTTTTTCTCAGCTTTACAGGATTGCTTCGGATAGGCAGAGGCCATGGTGATCGACTATTATCATCTTGATAATGGGAGACTGGTTTGGGATGTTCGATTCAGGCGTTTCTTTCAGGATTGGGAGATTGAGGAGGCCATTCATTTCTTGGAGTTGCTGTATCGCCAAAGGATTGTGGAGGAGGATTCGGATTGTTGGTCTTGGGTAGCAAACTCTCAAGGGTGTTTTGAGGTGAAGTCTTTCTTCAAGTGTCTCTCTTTTGATCCTGACGTTCGTTTTCCTTGGAAGTCTGTTTGGCGTTCCAAGGCTCCTCTCAAGGTGGCTTTCTTTGTGTGGATTTCGGTTCTGGGTAGGATCTTAACCCAGGATAATTTGCGAAAGAGAAACCAAGTGGTGATCAATCGTTGTTATATGTGTCTTCGTGATGAGGAATCAGTGGATCTCCTTCTCATTCATTGCTCTTTGGCTAAAGATTGTTGGGATTTGATGCTCTGCTTATTTAGGTTTTATTAGGTTATGCCAGGATCTGCGAGAGGGCTGATTGAGGCGTGGAGAGGTTGCCCTGTGGGGGCTCTCAGTCAGAATGCATGGAGGGCTACGCCGCTTTGTGTGTGGTGGTGTATTTGGCTTGGAAAGAATAGGAGATATTTTGAAAAAAAGGCGATGTCGATTTCGGTGCTTAAATTCTCGATTATTTCCACTCTTTTTTGTTGGGTTTCAGGGAGAGATCATAGATCGTTAAAGGAGATTGTTGATTTTTTGGCCTCTTTGAAGGCTTGAGTCCTTTGTGGCTTTTTGTATTTTTCTTGGGTTCCGCTCCCCTTTTGAGCCTTTTTTAATAAATTTTTATTTATCAAAAAAAATAATAATAATAAATAAATCATTTATTGTATTATGGGCTCGTTGCTTAGTTCAATAGTAAGGTAATTTCTTATTTCCCGTGGTCCATACAAGTTGCATATAGACAGATCCCAGAAATATGTTTCTGCTTCTGCCAAGTTTTCATTTCCCATACTACATATTGATTTTTCTCCCACACCCCAATAAGAACTGATATCACCTACCAACTCCTGAGGTCTGAAGTACTCCAATGTATATTCCCAAAATTGTAACTATGATCAAAAGATTGCCAATAGCTTCATCTACAACTTTACCAACACTTTGTAAGTCTAGCAAGCACTTTACACTGCTTCGCCATATTGCTCCATAACATTTCTGATCAAGTTGATCCATTTTTGGCATCTCATTTAATTATAGAAATAAAATGGAAGATGGAATCCTCCAACACCGAATGACAAAATTGAACCCTTCTCTACAACGACTCTCTCTCTGTCTCTCTGTCTCTCTCTCTCTCTATCTCTCTCTCTCTCTCTCTCTCATATGTATATCCACACCCAAATATATACATATAGTTACCTTTAAACTGTTAAATTCCCCATCACTTATCCCATACTTAACCGTATTACACATCTCTAACGTTAGCTAGTTCCAAGTAATGCTAATTTAAAAGAGGGATAAATTCCTAGGGATTCACAATCTTAGGTCCAATGAACTTCCAATCAAGAAGTGATATTCAACTCACCCCCTTCCGCTCCACAAGAATTTGTTTCTAATACTTCCTACTGAAGTGCTTAATGAAGGGGCTAGCACAGTGTACGAGGCTCCCGTCACTGCTTAATAAAAATAATAATCAACATGCCACCTTTATATGAATTGCCTTCTAACACATTTTACCCATGTACCAAACAAATATGGATTGCACATAAAGACCCCCTGAAGGATGTCACAGTATGTATATGGATGAAGCTAGCACACATCGCATCTTTGGAACACTACAAACTGATGCTGTGATGCAACTTAAGTACCTCCCAACACCTTAGGATATTGATCTACTGTCTCTCAGTATTGATGACTTGATCCTTCATTAAATAAAATTTGTGTTACAATAAGTTTTGCATGAAGTTGATACAATTTTGAGCAATTTTCACATCAAATGATGTTTTAAACCCTTCTTTGGTTTTTGTTATTTCATTCATATGATTTTTTTTTTCCTAGTTGGTACTCAGACCCCACCCCCCCCCCCCCCCCCCCCCCAAGGAATTGTTTGCACCTACTACCTAGCAGAGACCCATTGTTTCATGAGGCACCAGGGATTCATATGATGTTTTAATCATAATAACTCTATCCATCAACCTAAGACAATTCCTTTTATTTATCAAAGGCACAAAGCAATGACATAAGCATGGAAAGAAGATTAACATGCATAGATTCTACTTTTAAAGTCGTACTTCTTTAGTTCTTTTTGGGTATGTTAACGGGATGTTTGGCATGTGAACCTACCAGAAACACCTATGGAAACAATCAATACTGTACATAGAACTAAATGACTCCAGGGAAAATGTGAAAAGGTTTCTATGCAGAAAGCAACCTAGCTTATGCAATTATGAAACCTTTTCCTGACCAATTATCAAACCAAGTACACATTAACAACAAATAAACATATCCAAACAACCTTGAAAACAATTCAACCAGTTTTTCAAATCCAAAAACCTTAGTACGAAAGGAAAATCAATGAAGATGAAATTTTAAATTTTGTGACTCCTCTTGTCCTTTTGGTTTTCAATAATTTAATTACTCATTGGTGAACTGAGCTATTGGGTTCAATTGACTGCAGATTTAGATTTCTTTGGTTAAAAATACTACAAAAATATAAAACCCAGAAGTTCAATTTTATTTTACTTTTCCCTAAACGTATATAGCAATCAAATGAACCATAATACCAATTCTAAAACCAGGAAAGACTGTACACAATATATATACACATATGTGTGTATGTGCGCGTATATAATGTATAAAAAAGAAGGATACGGAGTTCTGGAGTGCTTATCTCTTGAATTGATGGCAAAAGGGTTGGAGCTGCATATTAACTGAACGGCGTTCAGGTCGCCTGACCTAGCAGCTGCATGTAGTTCTTCGCCTAAATTCGATGATCCCTGAGGTTTACCCATTCTCTCTCTCTCTCTCTCTCACTCTCACTCTCTCTGCAGAGTATCAACAGGGTTAGAGAGGCTTCGTTTAAGCTGTGCGTTTGGGGGTAAGAAGGAAGTGCAAGGGAAAAAACCCTTCGTTTGGAAGCGAATACTTTTGGAAATTAGATTCAAAATAATTGGAAAATGATAAATAAATAAATAAAGTAAATGAAACTCTTTGAAATGATATTTTATCTTTGTTATCTTTGTTTGTTTGGAAGTAAAATATTTTTTTTATAAATATTTTTTTAAGATAAATATTTATTTTTTAAGTATTTGGCAACGATTTAGGTAAAATAATTTATTGAAAATTAAAAAATAAGTTATTTTAATTATATTTTAATATATATATTTTCTTTATAAATATATTACTATAACTAAATTTTAAAAAATTAAAAATATATATTTTAAAAAAAATATTTTACCTCCAAACAAAAAGAGTTTTTAAGTGAGATCAAATTACTCTAAACTACAACTCTGCTCTATATATTAAAGGGGTGCACAAAAATTCTGTGAAATCGAAAATAAAAATCAGACCAGACTGTTTGGTTCGATTTACTAACGGTTTGGTTCAGTCGCGGTTCCAAATTTGTGAAATTATAAAAATACGATTTGGCCTCTATTTGAGATCCAAGACCTAATTGGACCAAATCGAACCGTTAAATTATATATATATAATTATACATATAATATAATTCTACAGATGTTGTTGGTGGTTTTCTGAATATGGTGTCTATTGAATTAGTAGTTATAAATGTATTAGGCTATTAGTAGTTTTGAAGTCACTAAATCACTTCAGTTCCATAAGTGACAAAGAAAAATGAATTAAAAGTTCTAAATACAACTTTGAATGTATTAACTTTTGTTCTAAAAGTGAATATATTAGCAATTCTGAATGTGTTGATTAACTTGATTTATTGTTGTACATTTGTATTTTGAAATATAAATATTTCTATAACTACCAAAAAAAAAAAAACAAAAAAAAAACAAAAAAAAACTTGGAACCGAATCAATGTGTCACGGTTTGGATTGATTCGGTTCCTTTGGTCAAATGGTTCGGTTTGGTTCTAAATTTTCTGAAACCATTGAGATTGTGTAATACCCCGTATTTTATTAAAGAGTTTAGTTTATTTGAATTAATTAATGTGTATATTTCTTTCCCATTCTTATATTGAGTTCATTTAATGGTGCATGTATTATTATTAATAATTTTATTTGTTGATTATGTTTAATTAAGCATTATTAGTTAATTAAAGTATTATATTTGTGTTATAAAGTATTATGATGATATAATGTATTCTTATGTAATAATAATAATAATTATTATAATAATAATAATAGTATTAAATCATAAGTCATGATGAAATTAGAGATTATGATAGGATTTCATTAATGTTTATGGGTAAGACTTGAAGCCATATGGTTGGGAATGTGGTTAGTTAAATGCAAAATTAGATATTTGTAATATTTATATTATATAAATTGTATATAAATTAGCTAGCCTACCTTAGAAGGAATGGAAGGGAGTTAGAAAAAGTTATAACTTTTAGTGAGCCATTGTAAAAGTGTGGAAAGGAAGGGAGAGAAAGAAAGGAGCTTGGACCGGTTTAGGAGAAATTTACCCGACTACGCGCAACCGGCGGATTTATTTTAAATCAAAAAAGGCAAGTTATAATCTACTTTTCCCCTTTGAATTAATAAATTAATTGTTTAGTTTATTTTCATACATAGAGACCAGGTTATGAGGTTAATAAATTATTAATTTTAGTTTATTAAATTAATAAAATTTTAATTAAATAGGATGGTATATATTTATTTAATATCCTATCAAATTAATAATGGCTGAAAATAATTAAATAAGGCTTTAGGGATTTTTCTAGAATTTTCTAGATTTTTCTGGGGCTTTTCTGCAATTTCCGGCGAGACTTCGGTGAGTTTTCCGGCCACCAGCAGTGAGGAAGGTGACCGGAGTTATCTGGTGTGTTGCGGTGTATTGTAACAAGCATGCGCATGGATCAGCAGCCGTTAGATGGGTTGTGAATCCTTAAATTGATTCGGTGTAGCGCGGGACACCATATGATGGTGCACGCTAAGCATCAGCCGCAGGATGAAAGGAGCATAGGTGGATTGATCCAGTGTGGCGCGCATATAGGAAAAATGATGCAGCCAACCAACCGGAGGACGCCGCGTCAGCAAGAAGCCATCAACGCGCGCGTGGGACTCTCCAGACACACGTGGAAGTGCGTGCAAGCGCGTGGGAGAGTGGGGAAGGTTGGGCTGCGTGTGGGGAAGCTTAGGGCGGCGCGTGGGGGCGCGTGAAGGGCCCTGTCAGCTGCTAGAAATTACCAGAATACCCCTAGGGCCTGTTTTGTAAATTCCAGAACCTTAAACTTGGATTTTTATGTACTGTGTTGGTATTTACGGGTTTAACGGGTCACGAAATTATTATTTTAATACCCGTTACTTATTCTTATGGCCGATTAATCTTTTCTAAGCATGTATTGGCTCGTTTATGGTACGGATATTAATGTGATTTATTTAACGACATTGTTAAATATAAATAGTGTTATTATCTTATTAAATGGTATCAAACATTACTGTTAAATTAAATAATGCCATGGTTTTAGTCATATAAATTATCCATGATATCTTATGGGATGTTTATACTGTTAAATGATATATAAACCATGATTATTATGCTGTGTGCATTTTAGGAAATAAATGGACTGTTTAATTATGTCGCATTTATATTATATGGATGTGTTGCCATATAGAACCATGTGAGCTGGCTAATAAGTTTAGACTCATTTATACCTTATGCATTCGTTGTTATAGACAGATGTGTGGCTGTCGGGGTATGTGGTTTAATATTATTGGCATGTGTTGCCTAATTGACATACTCGGTATATTTATTAATATTGTTGGCATGTGTTGCCTAATTGATATGCTCAGTATATTCATCAGTACATTGAGAGGTGTTATCACTGTATAGTTCGTTATAGTCTGTGTTGTCAGTATCGTGCACCATGTATAATAGCTGATTTCCCGGGTAGGGAAAGGCGACACTTAACCACCTAGTGTGAGTCTAAGTGATCACCGTCTATTCTGGTTGAGGTCATGTTATACATTGGATAGTTCCCTTAGGATGTATGCAAATATAGTACTCGTCCGATTCATAATGATTAATTTATTTGATTCTCTGATTTGGGTCATAGTAGAGAGGACTTGCTCGTGGGGTTGACCCACCATTGTTGTTATTTCAGGATACGGTCAGTACCCGTTCCAAGGTTGAGGTTAGCAGTGAGGGACCACCATCCGAACTCATCTACTCTTACGATCCAGTTCAGGGTAGAAGTTTTATGTATTACTTCAGTTTCAGTTTTTATTTACTTTTGACGTTGAACTCTCAGGTTTATATTTAGGGATCCTTGACATAGGATTTCCAAGTTGTAATGGAGTACTGTATTAAATAAAGGATGGATGGATGTTGTATTGTTTAGTGTTCATTTCCTGTCTAAATTCTTTATTTATCATCATTTTGTATTCTATGCTTGTATATTGCCAATTGTTTTTGATATCCCTCGTTTTTCGTGTATAAACCTGATCAACTTATGCATGGAAAATGTTGGGGGTGTTATAGTTGGTATCAGAGCATTCCAGGTTCGAGTGTCTTAGGGATCTGTGATTACTATACTTCCGCGTTGTGTATTCTGATAATTAGAGCCTAAGTATTAGGGTTCTTTGTATTCTTTTAGTCGGTCCATTATAATTTACTGACGTTAGATTTTTCTGAATTCAAAAGAAGGATGTCTCGGCATGGGACAAGGAATGCGAACCGTCATCGCAGTATTTCCCCAACTTAAAATGAGAATCAGGAATTTTCCCCTCAAGTTGCTGATATTATTGCACGAGCTGTAGCAGCAGGAGTAGCATCTGCTCTACAAAACCAGCAACCTCCTCCGATAGTACCTGTTCCTGAACCAGTGGCACAGCCAATGTCATGGGACAAAACTCGTCACTCGTTTATCAGAGGGAATCCACCATCGTTTGCGGGGTCCACAGATGTCCTGTTAGCATATCAGTGGAAACAGGAGAGCGAGCGTCATCTTCGGATGGTAATCTGTACCGAAGTGCAGAAACAGATGCTAGCTACGTTTATGCTGATAGGCAATGCATTGCAGTGGTGGGAGTCTATTACTACTGTCGAAGAGAGGACCAGATTGACTTATGCTGAATTTCAGACTCGCTTTGATGACAAGTATTTTCCTATGTCAGTAAGATCAGCGATGAAGACTGAATTTCTGGATCTGCAACAGGAGGATATGACTGTGGTTGAGTATGAACAGAAGTTCATTAATTTGTCATTATTTGCACCAGAGGAGGTCAATACGGAAGAAAAGAAGAGAGACCGCTTTGTTAAGGGGTTGGTATGGCCGATTAAAGTGGTGATCATAGGTAGTCCTGCATATACTACTTACATCTAGGTGGTTAATGCCACTTTACAGCACTGCCAGATGAGGAGTGATTACCGGAAGTCCAAGGGAGATAAGCGGGCTAACCGAGACTACCAGACAGTGGAGAAAGGAAGCAGTAGTGGTACCAAGTCCAATGATCGGGGCAGATTTCAAGGACATCAACCTTGGAAGAAAAACAAAGGAAACCCAGATGTGCAGAGGGAATGAGTCCCTAATCAGGGTAGACAAGGTGGGGTAACTCAGACCGGACAGGAACAGTTTTCGGGAAGTCAACAGAGGAGGCAGGCAGGTCCTTTTACAGGACGTTGTTATCACTGTAGAGAAATTGGGCATCCGGCCAAGATGTGTCCCAAAGCTAAGCAGGGACAGTATGGGCAGCCGAGACCTAACCAGCCATTACCTCTACCGGCCCCACCGATGCCACGTGGGCAAGTTCAGAATTTTTCGGCACTTCCAGCACCACCATTTCCTCCGGGACAACCTCCACAGCAGTTGCATCATGGCAGAGTTTATAACTTCATGCCACATAATGCGCAGGCTCCTAAGGCTATTGAGGGTATGTTTTCTATACATGGTAGAACTGCTCGTATACTGTTTGACACTGGTGCATCACATTC